TCTTATGGGGATTCGGTCTCAAAACTTCCAAAATCCGCCACCAGAGGCGCTGGCGTCGCGCGCCATTGACAGGTTGTTGGACGGAATCTGTATTCATGAGTTGGGGATTCCGCCGCTAGATGGCGCTGTCAAACCAAACGGAATCTGTGTGTCATTGGACACCTGTCATGCGTCATTGGGCATCTCACGCATAGATGGCGTTACACGTCATCTGTCATACGTCATTGGACACCTGTCATTGATGGGTTGAGCATCTCGCGCATAAATGGCGTAGATTTGTTTGGCGGTGTACAAACCTAACGGAATCTATGCGTCATTGGACAGCTGCCATTGATGGGTTGGGCATCTCGCGCATAGATGGCGCCGATGTCGCACCTGTCTGGTGTTGGCGTGGATTACGGGGGGCAACGTGTATACAGGGGTGCATCGAAAAATAGCGGATCGATGGACCGACGGTATATCGTTAAATCGTATATAGCAAGGCGTGACCTAAATAGCGTGGTGGGCTCCTCTGGTCGGTCGGTCGGTCGGTCAGAATGTCTCATAACCTGTATACGATGTACTGTTATTATTATACAGGATGATACCGTTCAAAATGAAAATAGTATAGACATTCTGACAATTATTTCGCAAACCAGAGGTATTTTCAATAAAACTACAATAATACGTTTAATATTTTATTGAAAATAGAAAAAACTACATAGGTAATATGATATTTGAAAACCAGTGGCGTAGACGTTCAACATTTCTCTGGGTACAGGAAAATTGTCCGTTGGTGTGGCATGGATTGGAATCAGCAACAAAGTTTCCAGTAGCACACGGTGTACCATCATACTTGCAAACATCAATAATGTTGGGAAAAACACCAAAAATGTGACATTTCTTGAGTAAAAAGTTTGCTTTCTGTTCTCCACGAACGTAGACATAGTCAGCCGCATATATCACCTTATTTTTAATTATTTCATTTAACTTGGAATATTTAACGTCGCCGGAAGAATATTTAAGCCCATGGAAATTCTTCTCCAAGTAAGCGACAGTTTTCTTGTCTTTAGTATTTAATGTAGAAAAAGGTTGCGG